GGGAGGGGGAGAGGAAGAGAGAGAAGGGGGAGAGGGAGGGAGGGAGAGAGAGGGGGAAGGTGAGAAGGCGGAAAGGCAAGCGGGGGAGGGAGAGGAGGAGAGGAGGGGAGGAAAGGGAGGGGTGAGGAGGAGAAAGAGAAGAGGAGGAAGGAGAGAGCGGGAGAGGGGTGAGAAGAGGGAGAGGGTGTAGGGGAGAGCGGGGAGGGGAAGAGGGAGTAGGAGGAGAGAGGAGAAAAGGAGAAGATGGGAAAAGGTGAAGGGGCGGAAGGGAGAGAGAGAGAGAGAAGGGAGAAAGCGGGAGAGGAGGGAGGGGAGAGGGGAGAGGGAGAGAGGGAAGGGAGAAGGTGAGAAGGGAGAGAGGGAGAGGGAGAGAGGGAGAGGGAGAGAGGGAGAGGGAGAGGGAGAGAGTCAGAAAGGTGATTGGGTGGGGGAAGGGGGAGGTTAAGCGTTAATGACTGTCTGGAAACAACACGCGAGGTGTCAACTCAAAGAGAGAAGGGTTTGTTTTATTGTTCGGGTAATTCATGTTTTACGGCTCTCGCAATTCTGTATACGGTCTTATATGCGTGTGGGACACTTAAAACATTCTCAGATTTTAGTAGAAATTAAATTAAAATTTTTGTCTGGTGAGAGGGAAACTCTATAGCAGCAGACACACGGGGATACTCAATAAACAAGGTACAGGGCGGTCAACAATTCGTAGCACAACTTATCATCAAATATCTCCTCAACTATAGAATATAAACTCTCCAGCCTTTGCACAATGATTTGTGAGGCGTGCTGACCAAATGAGTTACTTCTCGCATTCCACAAATCGAGATATTGGCCAAAAATCTACACTATGGTCAAATTAGTAGATTTTCTATTGATGCCATATTCTTCAAGTATGACATGCTATTTATTATTTCATACTTATAAATTGAAAAAGCTTCACCTATAATCGTGATGTACCTATTTCCATATGGCTCGAATCTGAGAAGTAACTCATTTTATCAGCATACTTCACATTTGGATCAATTTGTCTTAACTGATCAATATTTTTGTAAACACTTGTTAGCTGTTTTCTAGAAAATTCCTTGATAAATTATACTAATTTTTAAAAACCAAGTGGGTGGTTTCTATCAATTTTAAAAGATTTACAGCTGGGACAATATCGCTTTTAAAAGCAAACCCGTCATCGTTTTCTAATGGGGACGTTGTGTTTATTGAACGCATGTTTTGAGAACCTTTAGTGGAAAAATGTGTTCACTTTGAAGTTAATTTCTTGTAACAAGTTTTCCACTAAAAAGTGTCATTGATGAGCTGTAACGTGGGCCATAGGCGTATTCAAAATGTGTGTGAGAAGCGGGAAGTGCTGTGAACTATCCCATTTCTCGCGTGATTGTTTTTCGTTATCTTTTTTATTTAAATACATAAATTTATAAAGAAAACTTTTTAATCTAGCCTCAATTATTGTGGAAAAATGAGACTAAGTTAAGAGATATTGATACAACCTTCTGTGCAAAGTAAGGGGGACATTGATTCACTTGTTAAAGAGATATTTGAGGATAAGTTGCTCGACGAATTTTCGACCACACTAGAAATCAATCAATTCAAACAAGAATAGATACACACAAAATAAACTTACCTGGAGTAGAACTCACGACTCCAGCGTTCAACAGCAAGGGGACTTATTGCTACACCAGCAGAACACTCACACTGTCGCGTCCATGTTAGAAAGAGAGAGAGAGAGAGAGAGAGAGAGAGAGAGAGAGAGAGAGAGAGAGAGAGAGAGAGAGAGATTGAGATATCACACAATGTACATAGGGTAGGCAGAGGACCGTGAAGTTTACTACGCTGTGGTGAGTGGGATGATGACGCTCGCTCACACAATGTTATTATTCTCTCAGCTCGGCGACATGCAATGACATGGAGCCAAGGACAATTATAATAGAACCTCCTTGCGTGGAGCGCATACCGTGAGTACATTGTACTGCTCACGCTCGGCCCCACGATAGTCCTACGTCGCTCATCTACAACTCCAC